AGAGAGAGAGAGAGAGAGAGAGAGAGAGAGAGAGAGCGAGCTTATCGACATTCCGTAGAAAAGGATCAGCACTTGCTTCCGTAACTTGTCGGAATTTTATGGTAACTCTCGGCAATGTTGTATAAGAAACTGCCAGCCGAGAGTCCGAAAACAAAAATCGCCTAGACACTGTTATTTAGGATTTAGTTATTACTTGTCAGCATCTAGGCCTACCTTAGAAGACAGTCACCTTATCTTACCTTACCTTACCTTACCTTACCTTACCTTACCTTACCTTACCTTACCTTACCATATCGTACCGTACCGTACCTAATCTGATCTTCCCTCATCTCACTTCCTCTCATCTCACCTCATTTCATATCTCACCTCTCACCTCTCCCCTCATCTCCCCTCTCCTCCTTTCATCTCACTTCCTCTCGTCTCTTTTTATCTCACTTCTCACCTCCTCTCATCTCACCTCGTCTCACATTCTCTCCTCTCACCTCCTCTCGTCTCATCTTATCTGACCTCTCACCTCCTATCATCTCATCGCATCTCACCTCTCAACTCCTCTCATCTCACCTCCTCTCACCCCTCTCACCTCCTATCTCACCTCCTCTCATCTCATCTCACCTCTCACCTCCTCTCAGCTCACCTCCTCTCATCTCACCGCATATCACCTCCTCTCCTCTCCCATTCTCTCCTCTCACCTCTTCTCCTCTCTCACCTTCTCTCATCTCACTTCATCTAATATCTCACCTATCCTCTCCTCTCAAGTCATCTGACTGTGTACCGGCGTCGGTGGCCTAGTAGTTAGGCTACCGGACTCGTAATCGTGAGGTTGCGGTTTCGAGGGTTCGAGTCGCGGGCCCGACTTTGTGTCCTTGGGAAAGGCACTCTACACGAGTTTTCCTCACTTCACCAAGAAAGGTGGGAATGGGTACCCGGCCATAGACAGCGAAAGATTTCGTTAGTATATTAGTGTTTTAGCTCCTATAAATGGCTGCTTGCTCTGTATGCTTCTCAGAAAGTTGAGGTTTCAGAATGCTCCCAGGTCTTCTTCGGTAATAGTATAGGCTGTAGAGCTCATAGAGCTTGCTGTTGAACTGGGATTTGCGCAATAAAAATGCTATTTATTATTATTATTATTATTATTATTATTATTATTATTATTATTATTATTATTATTATTATTATCATTATTATTATTATTACTGTTATTACAGGCGGACGTTACGTGCCCCGCGCGGCGCTGGTTGACCTGGAGCCAGGCTCCATCGACTGGGTCAGGTCTGGACATTTCGGCACCATCTTCCGGTGAGTTGCTGGATGAATTGTACATTACAACTTAAGTAAAAACAAACAGTTCTATCTTTTTGGACACTAAGCATCCCTTGTTCCCTTAAATAAAAATATTAGCCAGAAGTAAAAGACTTAGGCTTCTAATCTGTGACAAAGAAAGATACAGAAGGTCATTTTTACCATCATCCATCAAAATTCTTCCACCTTAACCATCTTGTTATAAGTATTCATATGACCTCAGACCATGCACCAGAATGACGCTGAGTTACATTAAGAAAACAGAGTATGTATCTAGCTTAACATTGTTATTGTTTATATTACTGTTAATTTATTATCTGCATGTGACTGTAAGCCTGCGTGTGTGTGTGTGTGTATTGTGTGTGTGTGTGTGTGTGTGTGTGTGTGTGTG